CATGTAATTGTAACCCCTCTGTATGGTATTTTTACAATTAAAAAAATAAAAAGAGTATCACAGACTTTCCTGCCCAAGCTAGTTTTGAACTGTGACCCTTAGATCTCAGCATCTTGAGTAGCTAGGATTACAGGTGTGAGCCTGTACATGACTTGTTGATAACTTATTTGGCTTATAACTTAAGTTTCACAAAGCAGAATTGGCTTGTGCATTTCTGTTTTCATCTTCCCTTTTTCCCCTTTTCCCTCCTTCCCTCCCTTCTTTCCTTTATTCTTTTTATTTTATTTTTGTTGGTCATGGGGCTTGAACTCTAGGCCTAGGTGTTGTCCCTGAGCTCTTCAAGGCAAGTGCTCTACCACTTGAGCCACAGCGCCACTTCTGGTTTTCTGATGGTTTATTGGAGATAAGGGTCTCCTGGACTTTCCTGCCTGGGCTGGCTTTGAACCATGATTCTCAGATCTCAGCCTCCTGAGTAGCTAGGATTATAGGTATGAGCCACTAACACCCAGCTTCATTCCTTTTTCTTAAGACAGAGTCTGGCTATATTGCCCTGGCTGTCCTAAAACGCAGAGTTCTCCTGCTAGCCTATAGAGTAGTTGGAATCCTCCCTTCTTTCTTTCTTTCTTTCCTTCCTTCTTTTTTTTTTTTTGGTCAGTACTGGGGTTTGAATTCAGGGCCTCCCACTTGCTTAGCTCACTTACTTTGCTAGTGCTTTATCACTTGAGCAATATCTCTAGTACAGCTGTTTGCTGATTATTTCTCAGACTTTTCTGCTTGAGTTGTTTTTGTACCATTTTCCTTCAGGTCTTCTGAGTAGCTGGGAATACAAGTGTGATCCACTAGCATCAAGCTTGTTAAGTTTCTATCTGTCTGTCTGTCTATTTATTTTTGTTTGTTGTGCGACTTGAACTTGAGGCCTGGGTACTGTCCCTGAGCATTCCTATTCAAGGTTAGCACTCTACCACTGTGAGCCACAGCTCCACTTCCAGTTTTCTGGTGGTTAATTGGAGATAAGAGTCTCAAGGACTTTGCTGCCTGGGCTGGTTTTGAACTGCCATCCTCAGATCTCAGCCCCCTGAATAAGATTACAAGTGTGATCCACCAGTGCCCAGCTATTTATTTAACTATGTTTTAGTACTAAGAGTCTATGAATTTCTGACTTGACTATTTCACAGCCTATTCTTAGCTTGGTTGTCAGTTTATTTTATTATTTATTTATTTTTTGGGGGGGGGCCTCAACTCTGGGCCTGGACGCTGTCCCATAGCTCTTCAGCTCAAGGCTAGCGCTCTACCACTTGAGCCACAGCGCCACTTCCAGCTTTTTTCTTTTTGCTTATGTGGTGCTGAGGAATCAAACCC